CAAAGATGATATGAATCACAGGGAGAGTGGTTCAGACTCACCAGTCACTCCTTGGATACTCTGTTCATGGTCCCTATGGGTAGGAATCAACTCAACGGCACTTAACAACAAGATAGTTTCTACATGCGTACCACCAACTCATATGTCAACCACTTAACACAATTCTCTTTGACAATCCTATCTAAATAAGACTCCTTCCCCCAGCCACACTCTATCAATTTATGGTTTTAGATTTCTTGAAAGTAATTGTTGTAATCTGAAAATAAATTATTCATTTATATGCTAGTATATTCGATATCAATCTCTCACAAGGCCACAAGATCCTTAAAGGCAGGACCTTGCCTAATTAATTGTTCACTGCACTGTCCTCGGTGTCTAGAGCACACGCCGGCATAGAGTAGGCATTAAATAAGTATTTATTGAGTTGAGCAGGATGAATGAATGAGGCTGGTCAAGGTCATAACCCTTTCTAAAAATCAAATTTCTGACAATCATAAGCTTAAAAGTTTTTGTGAAAATTTATCTTTGTGGTTGGCTTTTCTTGTGAAACCAACTCTTGTCTAGTTTGCTGATTACCATTGGTACAGCAATTTGAAATCTTCAGAGTAATAAGTGATGAATCAAACATTTTGCAGGAACCAAAGAGCTCTGCTCTTGGGTTTCAGGCTCAACACTCCCACCCATGAAAATATGCCATAGAAAAGGATACCAATCTACAGGCAGCAAATAAGTTCTGCATGTCTCCAGCTTTATTAAATTATTCTGCTTAAATTGAGATGCTATCATTTTTTTCTCCATAACTTATTTTATCTTTTAAAATATCATTTTATTCTGAACCTAATTTTTTTTTACCTCTATAAAAATGTTAAGCATTCTTTAAAGTTCAATTAAATTTTATCTCCTCAAATGAAAACAATTCCCATCTCACTTTCTTACATTGAGGATCTTGTCTGATTTTTAAAGTCTTCTATATCATTTGTCTAATACAAGGTTAAGTTGAAAATTATTTCAACAAAACCATAGAAGCCTTTATTAAAAATATTAAAATATGAAGCTATTGTTTCTTGACATATCTTCCATATAGGTTTGCATGTTTCTGAATGCAATGTTTCCCTCTCTTTAATCCTCTACAAATAATTTTGTACTTTTCGATTTACAACACATCAAGACAGCAATTTTGGCATTCTCGAGGGACTCAAATTGTGTTCATTTTAAATGTTTTTTGTTGTTGTTGTTGTTAGGGGAACAAAAAGAAATCTGAAGGGGCAATATCAGGACTGTAGAGTGGATGGGGTAAGGTTTCCCAACAAAATTCTTGTAGGACCGCCCTTGCTACCTTCAGAGAATGGGTGGGTCCATTGTCATAATAGAAAAACCTTCCTCGGTGCAATTATCCTGGCCTTTTGCTCACCAGTACAGCTATTATTTTCTCAAAACTTATTTATAATAAGACTTCATGATTGTCCTGTGTCCTTTGAGAGAATCTATTAAGATTACTTCTTTGTTGTTGTTGTCCAGTGCTATTCAAAAGTATAGAAGGTTATAATGACTTTATTTTTTTTTATTTCAGAATTCCTTTATTCCTTTGTTGTTGTTAAATGCTGTTGAGTAGGTTCCAACTCATGGTAACCCTGTATCGAGTTTCCAAGGCTGTAAATCTTTACCAGAGCAGAAAGCCCCATCTTTCTCCCACATAACAGCTAGTAGTTTCAAACTGCTGACCTTGAGATTAGCAGCCCAATTTGTAACCACTATGCTACCAGAGTTCCTTCTAGGAGTCCTTTAGAACCTAAAACAGTGGTCACCACAACCTGAGCTAACTTCTCTGCCTTGAGTTTAATTGGCCTAACAGATCCCCCCAGAAACCATGTTTTGATTGAACCTTGCTCTCTGGATCCTATTGAAAAATCCAAGGCTCATCCTTGGTTATGATTTGTCTATAAAATCACCTTCATTAGCTTCCATTTTGCTTAAAAGACTGCTGGAAAGATCAGTTAGTTGATCTAATTGATCTTCCCACAATGTTTTTGGTGCCAATTGAGCTGAAAGCTTGCTAAGACCAAGATGTTCAATGAAGTCTGAAATGCTGAACTATGTAGAATCCCAACTTCAGTAGCTGTCACATCAATGTTAATTCTGTAGTCTTTGTCCACCAGTTTTTGGACATAAGCCACAGAATTCTTCATTTGTCAAAATTAACTATCGTCCATCTCTTGGCTCATCTTTGAGGTCTTCTCAGCCTTCCTTAAAATACTTGATTCTTCTAAAACCTATTGTTTTATGTACTGTGGTATTCTTACAAGCTTACAGCAAAACTTCAATGATTGGGGAAGACATCCACTTGAGTTTTGTTAAAATTTTTATATTAGCCCTGATATTAAAAAAAAAAAAAAGTATCCTTTTTTTGAGAGAGCTTGTCTGCAGCCATACACTGATTACAGAAACGGGTTTAAACACATTTTATTTAAAATGAACGGGAAGTCTAGAGACAGTCTTTTATGATTTACCCTCATAGGTACATGACTATCTAAACCCTTTCAAGAAAAAACTAAACCCTTTCAAGAAAGGACCCATGACATTCTTTTTTATCCCTCTATTATACATAATGTAGTTCTCGTGTGGTGCTAGGCATTAATGTGCTGGACTACAGATCAGTTTGAACCATTAGATCAGTGGTTCAAGCTCACCAGCCACTCCTTGGAAACCCTATACAGGGTCACTATGAGTCGGAACTGACTTGACAGCACTTCACAACAACAATAACATTATGCATGATAAGGAGTCCTGGTGTGGTGCTGCAGGATAATGCACCTCAAGGTCTGTTTGAACCACAAGGTTTGCAGTTCAAACTCACCAGCAGCTCCTCAGAAACCCTTTATAGGGTCTCTCTGAGTCAGAACCAACTTGACAGCACTTAAGAACAACAAATTGTGCATGACGGAGTCCTGGTGTGGCATTGCAGGATCAGCACTAGGCTACGAACTCCATACTTACAATGAAATAAGTGAAGTCCAGCTTCAGAGGGGCTCTTATCTTCACCCCTTAAATGGATTGGGAATAATCTTCCCTGGTTGTCCAAGTACCTCTCAGAAATGCTGGGATTTCAGCAGAATGATATAGTGCTAATTGCACAAACCCTACCCTCAAACAGCCAGCTAGCTCTATCACTTTCTACCTGAGGACCGGGTACAAATTTATTTAGCCTTTTCTTAAGCCTTTATTAGAAATATTAAAATATGAAGCTATTGTTTCTTAACATATCCACCATATAGCTTTCCATATTTCTGAATGCAATGTTTCCCTCTTTTTAACCCTCTACAAATAATTTTGTGCTTTTCGATAGCAATTTTGGTAAGATTTACTTCATGACTTTGTATAAGAATCACATGAAGTAGTATTTATGAAGTGCTGAGTTCACATGGCTATTCCAGATGTATTTTTGTTTGTTTTGGCTTTGGTCTGGTCTTAACAAACGCACAAAAAAAAACAATTGCAAAGATTTTATTTAGCGGCTTTCTGTGCTTGGCACTTAGAAACAGAGTTCCTTGCATAAGGGCAAATTTTTATACACCTTTTCTTCATACATATCTTACATACCCTTTTTATTGCCCCCTTTTTTAATATTCATAATATTGAATTCCCCACTAGGCACATAAATACAATTATCTACAACACCTCAAAACCAAAAAATCTTAATAATATCTGTATTATTTTACTTGGTATTATCTGCATTTCCACACCACTTAAAAAGTTTAGCTTACACCAAGCTTCACTTATTTTCTTGTCATTAAAAGATTTGAGGGGAAGAAGGGGGGAAAAAAACAACAACCCCAAAACTTCAAAATGCAACGAGCTATTTGATAAACACGGAGATCTAAGGGCAGATGGAAGGGTATAGAAGGCCCATCTGTAATTCCCTGGGATAGGAAGGGATTTCTTCTACCACAGAGACCAGGGGCCAGGTGATCCATGGCAGGTTTCTGGACCGGGCATGCGATAGGCCAGGCTTCTTCTGTTTGTCACCTCTGCTCTTGGTGTTATCTGTTGGGATTATGAAACTCTTCCTTCTTCACACTCCTTCTGTTCCCCTCCCCCTGCCAGGCTGCATGCTGTGGAATTGGCAATTCCCATTGGGTGCACCTCTCTTCTGGCTCACAATGTTCAGAGCAGTTGACTCAAGATTCCTTGCCCCGTTCCCTCTCACCAGTGCCCTGGCCATGCACCCCTGTGCAGAAGGCATCAAGCAACAGCATTCCAAAGAGGTTTAATCCTCAGTAACACCACCATCCCTTTTATAGCCTGTAGAGGAAAAGAAAAACAAACAAAAACAAAACCAAAAATCTTCCTTGGTAAATCAAAACATTGCTCACACCTTCTCTCTCAGTCTTGCTCTCCACGTCCCTCTTGCTCGCTATTCTTTCTCTGTCTTTCCTGCTCAGCTGCTCTCACTCCCTCTTTTCATGGGCACCATTGGGAACATCAACAATAGCACACTGAATGAAGAGAGCCAAAGTTTAAAAGCAAACTTGTTCAGGCAGTCCAGTCCAGTTGCAGTACTGATGTCTTTCCATCTTCATCAATGGGAAACAGTTCCAGGAGACACAGTTCCTTCCAGTAACAGGGCAAGCTGCAGCTATTTTAGAATCAGTCCATCTAGTGTTGTACATAGACAAATTCTTTGTGAAAGCACCCATTCTGGGCCTCCCTCTTCAAAGAGTTCGCCCAGTTCAGTCAGTGTGCATGTATGTCTGTGTGTGTGTAAATATGTATGTATGTGTGTATGTATGTATAGGTAGGTCTATGTGTGTCTGACTTGTCATGGCTGCTACACTCTAGCATCTCTCTTAACATATTATTAGAAAATGATTATTCAGTCTCTTCAAAGGCCACTCTCGAGTAGACAGTGCTTTGTAAAGCTAAGGTTTGGGACGGCAGAAGAATGGCCACTGGGTTGGGGATGATCCCACTGCAGATAGCTTAAAAGTATCTCTTGTTGTTCCTGGGTATGTTTTCTTCCTCCCAAACAAAAAAAAAAGTATAGTTTCTCTTTATCAAAGGGTTCCCAAAGAGGAGGATCTGCCCAGGGAGACTCTGGGGGCCGTAGGCTCTGCGGTATCTGACTGGCTATTAAACCATGTGCACCGACATCTGGGAGGAAGAGCCTGGGACCGCCCCATACTGCCGGCCATCACAGGTGTTGGTCGCCTGCTGGTTATTGGGTGAAGGGCTAATCATGTGCATGCTGTGCTCCATCCCTGTGGGCAGGTACTGCCTCTCTCCAAAAGCTCCGTTGGAGGGGGAAGAACAGAGTAAAGTGCTTTGAGAAGCGCTCAGTTTTTCTGGGCTTGCAGCTAGCCTGGGGGAGGTAGGGAAATTGTATCCATACAGATTGTAGGGGTTGTGTAGGGAGAAGGCATTGTAGGAGCTCTGCTGCATGTGGCTGCCCCCAAACATGTGTGGTGAGGAGGAACTGGAGGCTGCATTGCCTGCCTGCATGACATACTGAAACTGGGAAGTGGGGAAGGACCCCAACTGGCCACCGTAGGCTTCCATCTTGCTGTTGCTAGGCAACGAGGGAGGAGTTGGTATTCCTGAGATCAGAGATGGAGTCCTCTGAGGCATGAAGGTTTCTGAGGGCTGAGCTGCTGCAGCGGTGCCACTCTGGAGCCTATTGTAACCACTGTCACTCAGCCCTGGGTAACTCTGCAAGGCAGCCATGTTGCTTCGGGCACAGGGTGGATAATCAGAGAGGTTTAGATTACACAGCTGGCTCTCTCGGCAGCCCACGTTGAAAGTGTTGGGGGCCAAATGAAAGGTTGGGGGAGAACAGGATGGAGATAAAAGGTGAGAAGAAGCTGAAGGGGATGGTGTCCCAGTGCTGGAGGTGGTTGGGGATGTGCCTGTGCTGCCCCCTGAAAAATAAAACATAAATATCATTAAGACAAAAGGTCCTTGGGTGGCATAAAGGTTGGTGTTTCAAGCCCACCCAGTGGCTCTGCAGAAGACAGCCCCAGCAATCTACTTCCGGAAGGTATATTGGCATTGAAAATCCTATGGTACAGTTGTACTTAGTGAATGATGGGGCCCCGTGATGCAGAATCGACTCCAAAGCAACAGGTTACCATTGAGACAGAGGTTTAAGGTTAGTCTGTCTAGGCCAGCTAGAAGCCATGCACAGGATTCCTCATATGTCCTAAATGGGCTGATTTTAACAGAACCATTGCTTTCTTTGAACCCAGCAGATTTCTATTGGGTGATTCCACCTGGTCCACCACCCCCACCACCCCTAACCCACCCCTAACCCACCCCTGACCAAGAGACAAAAAACAGACTGGGGGGGTGGGGTGGGAAAGAACACACTATTGCTTAATTCATTATGTAGGAGCCTTAGTAAGACCTGTTAAATAAAATATAAAACAAACCTTCCATTATTCATTTTGAATTTCTCACCTTCAAATTCGCCTTCAAATAAGATCTCTGGTAATAAGCATTAAAATCCTAGTGCAATATTTACCATTTTCAGTAGAAATATATTAAATATACATTTTATCTGAGGAAGGTGCCTACTTTACCATATTTAGTCTTTTAGCAAAAAAATACAGGATACTAAAAAAATAAAGATGTTTTATATGTAGGATACATATAATACATACATAATCTCAAAAGAAAATGGGTATTAGAGCAGGATAAAAAGTCAGGGCTGAGACCTGGAAGTACTGAGCAGAGGGGCTCAGGTAGTGGGGATGAGTATATGAGATGAAAGTTCTGTCAAATAAAAACATTGTGAGGCTGATATGAAGTGAGGGGAGATGCACAAGAATGCCCATACTTGCAGATAGTACCCATTTGACCTAGCTTCAATGGCTGAATGATCAGAACTCAACTAGAGGAAGAAAGAAGAGGGAAAAAAGTGTAATCCACTACAATTCAATGAACTTGACCTATACTTATGGAAGTAGTAGCTTAAAAGAGGGAACGAATCTTTTCAGCAAGAATCATCTCCACCCCTTCTGTACACAGGGTTGACAGGGATGGGCAACTTAGACATTGGCTACCAAAAATGGGGTGGGGGGAGGCTACAAAGGCACAAAATGATTGGCTTACACGTTTTCAAGAGGGAGCTTAGTTTCAGAGGGTGCAGGGGAAGGTAGAATCTCCACTGAGTGGTTTCCAGCCTGTCTAGAAAGGTCTGGTGAAAGGAGATGGGGATAAGACTCTTGTGGTTCAATAGTGAATACTTGGTATCAAGACTGATTGTGATTGTTGCAAATGTAAAGGTGGATGTTTTGCAACAAAAGAAGGGGAGCGGTTGATCTTGCAGCCCAGGAGCAGAGGACCCTGGAACCATCAAGGGAGAAGAGCGGAGGGCAGGGACCCTACCCAGAGAAGCAGAAATGCCAGACATGGAGGCAGACAATGACATAGAGAGAAGGAGTGGCTGGGGACTCTCAACTCAAGGAGGGAGAGGAGCTGTGTGCTGGTGGCCAGAGGGGGGCAGGCTTACAGTGTATGCCCTTTGTTTGTTTGAAGGGTTATATATTCCTGAGTGCTTCGGTGCACATGAAAAAAACAAAAAACAAAAAAAAACAGAGGGAATGGAAGCCAATGTTGTTGAATGATGATGCATGGAGGGGATTGTTGTCATTGCAATGAAATTAAATACGAATAGGATGAATGTGTAAAGCTGATGTTCTCCCATGTAAACTGTCACTCAATTCACAATACAAACTTTAAAAAAATATGTTCATACTAGACAAATCCACTGAGACAGAAAGTTAATTAGTGTTTGCCTGGGGTCGGGGCAAGGATAAATGAGTTACTGCTAATGGGTACAGGAGTTTGATTTTTTTCCCCTAGGATGATAAAATTGATTGTTGTGATGTTTCATAACTCTGTGACTATTATACTAAAACCCACTTAATTATATACTTTAAGTGACTGAATTACATGGTATATGAATTTCATCTCAATAAAGCGGTTACTTAAAAAAAGATGGCTGGCCAATCAGAAATGTGCTATTTAAGCATGTAAGCATATAGCTTTAGTACCAACCAACAAGATATTCTTGGATAGCGTTACATTTGTTGTTGTTGTTTAAGACAGATTAAAATCTAAACAGATAAAAAACAAAAACAAAAAAGCCATTGTGAGCACAATTATAAGAGCAAGCCAGAGAAAACAAGGCTAACCTGAAATGAAATTACGGTACTCTAAAGGCCCTAGCAATCTCCCTGTTCAGTCACGGGGACACGAAAAACACAGTAAATGGAATGTTTGGATTTGGGGAGAGTTATAAGGACAGGCAGTCAAACATAACCAAAAATTGACCTGAAAGTCAGGAGATTTGGGTTTTACTCACAACTCTGTCTCACTAACTACCACCAAGACCACTACCCCAAACCCTAGTATGTCTCTCTGGGTTTAAGTTACTTCCTCTAGAAATACGGGATTGTATGAAACTTAGGCTTTGCAAGCTTGGCTGCATGTAAGACTCACCTGAGAGCTTTAAAAAATACTAATACTTCCGGACTTCACCTAAACCAAGTAAATGAGAATCTCTGGGAATGGGACTTCTGGGTCAATAAAGTATTGTTTTAAAAGCTCCCCAAGTGATTCTACTGTGTAGTTATTAAATGTTATTAAATGCCATCGAGCTGGTCCCAATTCATAGCGACCCTATAGAGCAAGTCTGAGGAGTGGCTGGTGGATTTGAAACACCAATTTTGTGGTTCAAACTGACCTTGTAGTTTGAACCTACAATTCCACACCAGGACTCCAATAATATAATCCACGTTTCTCACTCCAAAGTGCCCTCTGTAGTGATTGCCACACTTGACCATGCATCAGAATCACTAGGAGGGTTTGTTAAAACATAGGTCATTGGCTCTGACCCCAGAGTTTCCACTGATGCAGTGGATCTGGAAGAGGGTCAGAGAATTTGCATTTCTATCAAGTTCTCAGGTCATTCTGATGCTACTGATCAAGGAGCCCACAATTTGGGTTAGAGAATTCTCAGGTTCCTTTAATGTCTACAAATCCTGAATCTTTACAGATAGTTTTCAAGTTATGAACATCCCACTTACTTACAAACAACTCCTGTCGTTGTTAAGTACTACTGAGTCAGTTCTGCTCATAGTGACCCTATATAGGGTTTCCAAGGAGCATCTAGTGAGTTTGAACCACTGACCTTGTAGTTAGCTTATCCTACAATACTACATCGGGACAGTAACTCCTACTTACCCTTTAATGTTATGTAAATTTGCCCTCACTTTAAAATAATTTAACAAATAAATTTTTCATCACAATCACCTTCACCTGCTGTACAAGGAGGTTTAGATGGTTGAAATAAGGTCAGGGGTTCCTTTTCTGCATGTGTGTGGTTCCTTTTTGAGGCATCCTGCACATTTTCCTCCTCGTCTACCCTAAATGCCATAAGCTCGGCGAAATACATGCTATGGCACAAATGGGAGAAACTTGATTCTGGCTGTAAAGAGATTTGTGTTTTATGGGATTTGTATCTGGTCTCCACTCTTTGAAAGTCCATCCTTGCTCTCCACAGGCTGGTGGTGTGTATCTGATCCTGGAGCAGACCACCTGTTCAGCATCCTGTACCATCCAATTATAGGGATGCTCAGAGGTGTACCTGAGGAACAGCAGTTGTGGCACATGCCCGGGGCACCACTTGAGTATGGGTGGGGTACCAATGAGTAGCTTCCAGTTTTCATCACCAGCTGTGTGAGATCATTCAGCAATTTAGAACTAATTGCCATAGGTGCTATTTTCCATAGGTATGCCTCTGGACACTCTTCATCAGGCACTGGCCCTAGCCCTATAGCAGGAAGTCTAAGATGGAAGAGATGACTTTTTTACAATTCTAAATGGCTTTCTCAGATGACCCAAAATGGAACGCATGGTACTGATTTAAGGCCTCAATTGGTTTCACTACAAAAGAAAGGCGGGGGATGGGGGAGACAACTATTAACAAGTTACAGGGATTTCTGCTGAGCAGATGAGAGGCACATGTTAAAAAGTTTGTAGTCAGCTTGCTTTGGCTTTTAAATGACACTCACTGGAAATGAGACTTGGTGGCCTGCTGAGCTTCAGGGGGTAGAAGTCCCTAAATGAACTAGCGTTTGAAGGGAGAGAGAGCAAGCTTGTCCAAGAAGGGGTCACATTGCCTCCATTCACTTTGAAGAAATGCTCTCGTGCACTTACAGCGTTCATTACCAATAATAACTATTTTTCAAACTCCACATAGAGAAGGCTATGGCATTGATTTTGCAGAGAAGTAAACCAAGATATTGAGAAGCCTTATGCTCTAACAGTCAGTTGTTAAACAAGATTTGGAGGGCCAGCCAAGTACTAAATAAGTAGAAGGAGGCAGCCCACCCTCTCCGAACATTTCAACACTTGCCTAAATAGAGACCTCTCATCACAGAGAAGTGAACGCAGAGTGGGAGGCCAGGCCACGCTGATTCAGAAAGGGTCAGAGCTGCCTCACAAAGAAAAGCAAGCCTCCCCTCCCTGTGTAGCATTCTCTTCCCTTCTCTCTCATCCCCTCTCTACCTGACAGGTCCCAAATGCTCTAAAGTTCTGCTAGAAATGTTTATTTCATGGATGAACATAGGCTATAATCCTGGTGTGGCACTTTAGGATAAGCACTGGACTGCTAACCATAAGGTCAGTGGTTCAAACCCACCAACTGCTCTTTGGAAACCCAATACAAGGATGCCATGAGCCATATAACAGCAACAACATAGGCTATAGAGTCAGACAGAAGTAGTTTCCAATCCTAGCTTCTCACTGAATATGGGACCTTGACAAGTTAGTTTCTCCAAGTCTCAATCAAGTTCCTTAACCATATAAATGGTATCTTTGCCAGTATGTATTGAGAGTAGATAAAAATAATACA